AGAGAGAGAGAGAGAGAGAGAGAGAGAGAGAGAGAGAGAGATGTTATGATCTTGGTTGTCCGACGATTTTTACCGCCACTCACACACAGACAATCTCATACATGCCCATACATGCATAAGAGAAGGGGGAGAGGAGACGGAGTCCACACTGTACACAGATCAGAGTAGGGAGCGGAATACAGCTATGCACAGATGGGAAGAGGACACACAGTGTTTCTCACTCTCTGACAAACTCCCAACAACCAATCACAAGAAGAACCTGTTAGGATAACAACTGAAATTGCACTGATGATGAGCCAACTCAAACAATTATCGTAACAAAGTTTGTTCCAGTATCTCGCCACTTTCAGATTTGACACCCCACTCTCTATCCTACTCCCAGTTAGTAGCGCCACATCAGAATGGCCTCCCAGAGGCGCCAACCACCCTGATGAAGAACAGGTTCTGCGAGGAAGTCTTCAGTGTCGATGGACAACTCTGACGAAGGAACAGGCAGCTACGTCTGCCACCACCCATGAGTACACAGTGTAAAGCCTCGATGTAGCCCGGCCAGACGCAGATACCCCAGGGGTAGATGCGCTGAGGATGCCCAAGCTATGGCAGGCTCAGACTGGGCCGGCTATGGCTGCTGTCAAAGACGGAGTCTTAGGATGCCGCCTGCAGACAGACACCGCCACCAACTTGCTTGGCTTCTCCAACGCTGCTTCGCGAAAAATGAACTGCCAAAAGCCCTGAACCAATGGGCCTAACCTATCTATAGACTACACTAGACCCTAGACCAGACTGATTGACCGACTCGTACCGTTTCTGTTTCGGCCTCTCGGCCTCTACCGGACCCGGCTATAGGCTATAGGACCGTCTATCAGTGTAGGCCACTTAGGGCCTGTCTGTCCTAGGGGTAGCCCGGGCCTGCTATTCGCAGCTACGGTAGTAGTAGGAAATTTCGTTAGTGTTAGGGTTGTATTTTTCCAAATTGCAGATATGTCCCTCACGAATTTCCTCATAGGTAGGTCTCTCGGTTAGCCCTCAGCCAAACAAAATTACGAATCTAGCCCTACCAGTTAGTGTACAGCCTCGCAGTCCATCTCGGTAGTCAGAATCAGCAAGTCATTGCAGGCTTACCCTCCCCGGGAGCGGGGACCTCCGAGCTAGGGATGCAGGCGAGGTGAACGGCGAGGAAGGTTGCCCTTCTGAGCCGCTTCATATCGCAACACAATAGACTTTGCTGTCTTGAGAAGTTCCCTTCTGTAGAACCATCTGTTCTCAGAAGGAGGCTGGAATGCGAATCTCACAAGATACTGCTGATCGGGGCCTGTGCCCCACTCATCCTCAATCCTGTCCACATCATATCCCTTGCCAGGGATTGGTGGACCGAACTGAGGGGGCCAGTCTGGGAATGCATCAGCTGGAGTGAAAGGCAGCAGTTTAGATGCATGAAAGCCCGGATAGGTACGTAGATGCAGCGGGACGTCGATAACATACGACGGACCGAAGGGATCAACGCCCACTGTATCTAGGACCTGCCATGGACCTAGGTAGCGTGGCAAAAGCTTGGGGGAGATATCTTCCTCCCTCGACAACTCAGAACTGCCCACCCAGACATGATCACCAGTGTGGATGGGGGAAGGCCGCCTGTGGCGATTAGCTTGTTCAATCATAGCCTTTTGGGCTTTGAACAAGTTTGCTCGCGCTCTTTCCACATCCAGACGATAACGTCTGGTGAACTCTGTTGTGCCTGGTGTCAGATCAAGCTTAGCCTTGTCGATGATGTCATCGAGAGGTTATCGTGGTTCGCGTCCCTAGTGTAATCGGTAGGGACTGAACCCTGTCGAGGAGTGGACAGACATGTTATACATGAGTTGTGCCCTAGCCAAGTGAAGATCCCAGTCCTGCTGATCTGGCGAGATGACAAGACGCAACAATTGGAATAAGACTTGGTTCATCACCTCAGATGACCAGAAGTCATGTCCAATCGTGTTTGCAGGTAATCCTTACAATAGGACTGCCACTCATCGCTGCAAAATTTGGGGTCTTTATCACTGACTATAGAAGTGGGCGGTCCATGGTGAGTGACCCACCTCTCAGAAAAGGTTGTTCTTACAGCGGGGACCCTAGCTACTTCTGGCAAGGGGATGAACTCTGTGTATTTGGAGAACCTGTCCACGCAGACCATAACCTGACGCATGCCACGAGGGGTGGTCTTGCCTAGATCTGTAAAGTCAATCACCACAGATTGGGCAGGGCCATCAGGTATCGGTAAGGGTTTGAGCAGTCCCAAAGGAGGTCTACGTTGGACGTTATTCCTTTGGCAGAGCTCACAGGTGTCCACATACTGCAACATATCACTCCGCATCTCCTTCCAGAAGAAGCGCTGCGACAGGGCTGCATAAGACTTTAGGAGCCCAAAATGTCCACGGGCATCATGACACTCTGACATCAGCAGTGTCTTGACCCGCTGGTCCTGGGGAATGCACAAGCGCTCGTCCCCTCTGCTGTACGTATACAGCAGGTTTGAACTCAACGCATAGCCTGGTTCAAAATTAGGATCTGCTTGCAGATTCCTGACAATGGGTCCAAAAGTCTCATCTTGAGGCAGTAGACAAGCAATGGTCTGATGGGTCTCCTCTCCAAAGGAGTGAGTAGAGGAGATCAGCGCAAAAGGGTTAGGCCTACGAGAGAGGGCATCGGCTACCTTGTTGTAGCAGCCCTTCTTGTGCTTCAGTTCAAAGTCAAACATGTCAATGAACTGAATATACTGTGCCAACTTATCATTCAACTCTCCCTGGGACTTCATCCACTGTAAGGTGGAATGATCTGAAAAGATCTTGAAGTGCCTGCCCAGGAGAAAGTGTTTCCAATGTTTCAGGGCACAGACAAGAGCGTATAGCTCTTTCTCATAGGTGGAGTCCTAAAGCTTTTGAGTCTTGATCTTCTTACTCATAAACTCTACAGGCCATAGACCATTCCCATCATCCTGCTGAAGAACTGCCCCAATGCCATACTGACTGGCGTCAGTGGTCATGATAAATGGCAAAGTGGGGTCAGGTAACTTCAGCACAGGCGCACAAGTCAAGGCCTTCTTGAGTCGTGTGAAAGCCAACTGACAGGGAAGCGACCAAAGAAAGGGAGTATCTTTCTTTGTTAGGTTGGTCAGGGGTGCAGCCACTGCAGAAAAGTTCCTGACAAACTTTTTGTAGTACGAGGCTAGCTGCTGAACTTTAGTGATCCTGGTACGGTTGATTAGGGGCCGAAGCATGATGAGATCCGACTTGCTTTTCTGTTGTTCCTTCAGATGAAGGAAGAAGGCTGCAAGTGACTGAAGCTCATCCTGCCCCGGGTCCTGATCCGGGTCAGGATCCTCATAGCAGAAGGATGTTGCCCGCGCAGTCCCCAAACAAACATTGTCACCTACTGTCTCAACTGAAACAGCTGAAGATTCACCTATCTGAGTAGATGAAGGTGCAACACTGGGGGGAACTGCTGTCCCCAGGGTCTGTTTCGTTTTTTTGACTTTCCTCGGCCTGGCATGTAAGGGCAGTCCCTTAGGAAATGATGTCCCTCACATCTCAGGCAGACCCCTCGCTCCTTCCTTCTTCTCCAGACTCCCTGGATCTTGAGGTCATGCCAGGGGAGGGTGGAGGGATTGAGTGGGTCAGCTGGCATTCGAACATCTTTGGGCAGGTTAGGGCGCTGGGAAGAGGAAGGCCGACGTCCCTTTTCCTTCCCCTTGGTACTGGCTGAGGCGGTGGTGGGGGAGAACTTCCTCTGCTGCTGCAGAACTCCCAAAACAGTCTGAGTCAGGGCTGCTGCAACATCTGTCTCAGGAGCAGATCCAGTCCCAGCTGAAGGTGCATCAGGTTGGGAATCTGAATCTGAACCTAATGCAGATCCCGCATGAGTAAAGGCCGCCTTTCCCTTTCTGCCACCTCTAGGGAAGGCACCTTTCCTCCTGTCAGAGGATGGGGCCTGGACATGAAGCTTTGCCTCCATGTCCAGGGCTGCGCGGCCAAAGGACCTCCAGTCCTTGTGCCCAGCGCTGTACAAGGCAACAACAAACTTCTCAGACGCTGCCCTGCAGAAGTTGGTCAGCAGATCATCTGTGGACATGACCAACCCAGGGGTGGAGGTAAGTTGCTCGAACTCAGCAAACAAAGCCTGCAGGGTCCCGCTGTACCGCTGCTGTCCCAGGCGAGCAATCCTGTCAGCAGCCTTGCGGGCCCGCTCCTTGTCTGCGAATCGGTCCTCCAGGGCCTGCAGAAGTCTGTCCACCCCAAGCCCAAAAGCCCAGTCCTCCATGGACTGTTGCAGACTGCTGGAGGTAGAGGTGGCCCACTTCAATGCAGGTCCCTCCAGCAGTCCCAGAACAGTCGCCACCTTGGTCTGTTCTGCACAGACAAAGCCCCTCAAGTAGGCTTTGGTCCCTGCAGCCCAGTCCCCAACATCGGTCTTGGGGTCATCACCCCTAAACTTGTTGGGTGCAGGGATCTTGGGACCTCTTTGATCCCCTGCAGTAACAACAACATAGGTGGCTTTGCCTGGGGTCTTTTGGGAATGAGATGGTGTTTGGGAAGAATGCACTGAACCATGGGGAGATGAAGGAGGGGTAGAAGGAGGAGAAGGTTTGGGTTTTATCAGAGGGAGTTGAGGGGCAATCAGCTTGGTGGATGACAGCTGAGCAGTCAAGTTCTGAATCGCATCCAGAATCTTGGACTGCCGAGCTGCTAGGTCGTCAACCCGACGCTCCAAACGATCAAAACGATCATCCCAGTTCGTGAAATAGGAACTGGTGATCTTGTGCTCTAGGATGATCGTCTCTACCAGGTGTGTAGTCACTTGTGCACAGCGGTCATCTGAGAGCACCTTGTCTAGCTGCTGCAACAGATAGTCCCTTCTGGAATTATCTGTTGCAGCCTCTAGCTCAGCTGCCTCCCGACGTTCCAATTCTGCAAGACGGTCCTGTTGTCGCCGTAGCTGTTCTTGCAGCTCTTTCTTTTCCTGCTAAGTAGCAGTCAGAGGGGGAAAAAAGGAGGAGTGGAGGTGGAGGGTTGTTGACCTTCCACCTTCATCACAACTTCCACCTGTGGCTGCTGCTGAGCCCCATGGTCAAACATTTTCCTTTTTCAAAATAAAATCAAAATAAAAACAGCAGCCTGAGTATGCAACGATAATCAAATTCCTTCACACGCCCTGGAATCACTGCAAAACTCAGACACTGGAATAGGTGGGTGAGTGGGCAATCAGCGGTTTGGGTTGGAAGGGTGTCTCTGGGGTCAGGTGTCAGACAGACTGAAAGTCCAACAAAATCATACACACGATTTCCTTTTACTGACCCTGCACCACACTAGAGTTAGTAGAGACTGTCCACTACTCTTCCAGAGACACACTAGATTTCTAGAGCCCACTAGAAGACAAGAGTAATCAGTGAGAATGATAGAACGTGGTTACTACAGACAAGAGAGGTCAACCCAATCAAGCAATTTAGACAGACACCCTATATCCTGACTCAGACTCCAATTTAATCCCTGATGACTGTGGCGGCTATACCCTTGGGTATGGCGAAGTACAGTATTCACTGTATCCAGTGAAATACTGTAAATCCAAACATGCGATTCTGCAGTATTGCCTATTTTCAATTTGCGATTCACTGGGGACTGACAAATTTGAATTCTGACGGACAGAATTGAAGTTATGACTGACCCTAACTAGCACAGGCTATAAATAAACTCGACACAAAACTGGAATTCACAGTATCGCTACCTTTCCAGTGCAGAATTCACAATTTGAGCATCCCAGAATAATCGCAATGCAGTACAGCAGTCACAGGACAATTTTGGATTAAAAGGAGTCAACAGAGGGTTAGAAATGAGCAGAGAGAGGTAGGGAAGAGATGGCTATGGCTGTCATGCAGTCTGCGATTTTCACATCCAGTCACTGACAGACAGATAGACCATTATAATTGACTAATCTAGCTCTATCTGGATCGCTATGCAGGTAGGTGCATGGAACGGACTCACTTTCAAAGAATCTTGCAGGTGTTGATGAAGATCTGGCTATGGCAGATGATGACCCTTATCTCGCCAATTCTTCCAGATATTCCTCCTGACAATCCCACGCACAGAACCGCTCCAAACTTGTTGATCCTGATCCTCCTCAGGATCCTGTAGCGCTGCACTCCCTCAATCCAGATACACAGTATCTGGTCCTGTGGCGCCCAGATAGCCAACAACAAAATATCTCGCCACAGTGCTTGGTAGCCGCTGATGCTAAAAATAGCCTCAAATGGGGTTATTTCTTCTGGAGATTGATATAGTATGTCAATCTCCCTCAGCGCTACCCAGGGATAATGCCGCTCAGGGTTCCCTGATGTCCTTAGGGGTAATTCGCAGTACTACCCTCAGGGTTGGCTATGGCGAATTAGCCCTATACTCCCCATAACAGGCTCAGTGCGCTTGCTCAGTGCAACCACTGAACACTTGAATCCACCGCTGAAAGTCTTCTTCCCTGCTGACTCGGTACTGGGAAGATGAATCGCCATGAAACTCTCGGCAGTAGATCGCCAAATGAAGAAGATGCCTCAGTGCGCTCAACCCTCAGCGTTCCAATTCCAATCCCAGCTCCGATACCAACTGTTATGATCTTGGTTGTCTGACGATTTTTACCGCCACTCACACACAGATAATCTCATACACGCCCATACATGCATAAGAGAAGGGGGAGTGGAGATATAGTCCACACTGTACACAGATCAGAGTAGGCAGCGGAATACAGCTATGCACAGATGGGGAGAGGACACACAGTGTTTCTCACTCTCTGACAAACTCCCAACAACCAATCACAAGAAGAACCTGCGAGGATAACAATTGAAATTGCACTGATGATGAGCCAACTCAAACAATTATCGTAACAGAGTTTGTTCCAGTATCTCGCCACTCTCAGAACTGACACCCCACTCTCTATCCTACACCCAGTTAGTAGCGCCACATCAGAATGGCCTCCCAGAGGCCAGCGCCAACCACCCTGATGAAGAACAGGTTCTGCGAGGAAGTCTTCAGTGTCGATGGACAACTCTAACGAAGGAACAGGCAGCTATGGCTGCCACCACCCACGAGTACACAATGTAGAGCCTCGATGTAGCCCGGCTAGACGCAGATACCCCAGGGGTAGATGCGCTGAGGATGCCCCAGCTATGGCAGACTCAGACTGGGCCGACTATGGCTGCTGTCAACGGCGAAGTCTCAGGATGCCGCTTGTTGACAGACACCGCCACCAACTTGCTTGGCTTCTCCAACGCTGCTTCGCGAGAAATGAACTGCCAAAAGTCCTGAACCGATGGGCCTAACCTATCTATAGACTACACTAGACCTAGACCGGACTGACAGACCGACCGGTACCGTTTCTGTTTCGGCCTCTCGGCCTCTACCAGACCCGGCTATAGGCTATAGGACCGTCTATCAGTGTAGGCCACTTAGGGCCTGTCTGTCCTAGGGGTAGCCCGGGCCTGCTATTCGCAGCTACGATAGTAGTAGGAATTCCGTTAGTGTTAGGGCTGTTTTTTCCCAAATTGCAGATATGTCCCTCGCGAATTTCCTCACAGGTAGGTCTCTCGGTTAGCCCTCAGCCAAACAAAATTACGAATCTAGCCCTACCGGTTAGTGTACAGCCTCGCAGTCCATCTCGGCAGTCAGAATCAGCAAGTCATTGCAGAGAGAGAGAGAGAGAGAGAGAGAGAGAGAGAGAGAGAGAGAGAGAGAGACGAGCGATA